TTAAAGTGCACCTAGACCCAAAATTTTTTTTTCGCTTAACGAAATAAGCTTATTTTTTGGAGTATTTCTGTGCAAAAATTTTTTAATTTGGTCAAATCTTTAATTTTCTATGCCCAGTCAAAATACGGAAAATCGGCCGCCATCTTGCCCCACGACCGAGTTTAAAGAGGAATGGCTCTAGTGGGTAATGTGACGTCAAATCGAGAACACGAAAGTCTGCATTTCACACATTTTCACTTGTTTGGGAAGGTTGTAGTCGATAATTGTCCGAAAATATGCCGACTAAGTGTGTTGTAGAAGGATGTAGCAACGTGCGAAATTTGCAAGAGGGTATCGCGCTTCATACATTCTTCATACAACACACCTAGTCGGCATATTTCGGACAATATCGACGACAATCTTCCCAAACAAGTGAAAATGTGTGAGATGCAGACTTTCGTGTTCTCGATTTGACGTCACATTACCCGCTAGAGCCATTCTTCTTTAAACTCGGTCGTGGGGCAAGATGGCGGCCGATTTTCCGTATTTTGACTGGGCATAGAAAATTAAAGATTTGACCAAATTAAAAAATTTTTGCACAGAAATACTCCAAAAAATACGCTTATTTCGTTAAGCGAATAAAAATTTTTGGGTCTAGGTGCACTTTAACGTTTGTCACTTAAAGTTATCAGGTCAGCTAGCCAGTCCATCCGCTATCATTCAGCAACCGGTTGGCTCATTACTTCCTGTCTTCTTTGAACGATTCATCATCATAGTAAGATTTTATCTTTTTCCTGTTTCTTGATTTTAATCATAGTGACGTTAACCTTAGAAGGAAGTTGCTAGGGATGGCAAAAATATAGCCACCCACAGGTTCCTGCCTCTGGTGAAATTAACTTATGACGTATAGAATAGAAATCAGCCTTTGTCAAACAGAACTGCGAGAGGCTTTTCAAACGTTTTGATATTAAAGATGCTCGGAACGAATAAGCGTTTACTCCAGTGGCCGTTCATCCTAGAATTTTGACTGATATATTAACCCTGGGTCTTCAGGGAAAAATGTCGAAAGATGGCGAAAATGACATAAACATTAATTTATCAACCTTGTCGAGGTATATCGAGTAGATAAACGTCTAGTAGAAAATATTACATTCATAATCAAGCACGGCTAAAAGAGGCTACTAAAAATTTTGTTAATTTTAGAATTTCCGGAACTTGCAGCTAATTTCCATAAAACCTTTCGAAATCTATCACTTGGTGATTATCGAGCGCACTAGTTATGAGCTGAATGCCCTCAAGACAACATATCTGGCAGGCCAAACATATTAAAGAGCCACCTTTCTAAGTTTTTCAGTCGAATGGAGGAATGAATAACGCCAAGCAGACACATGTATGGCATCCTCAAAATGTGTTCATTTTTAGAGAAAGTTTTTAGAAATAAAAACAGGGTCTTAAGACAGAGAGTTAAGCTTCGCATTGAAAAGTTGAAATCCCGGGTAAAAACTGTCTTAAAGACAGATTGTCGCACCCAAACGTTTGCAATAACGACGGTAAGTGAGGCATAAGTGCCAGACATGCTGGGAACTAAACTTATCAAACGTCACCGAAATATCTATCACAAATTTTTCGGGATGAGTCATGTGATTTGGTTGTAACTAATATACTAAGATTCTAGGTATTTTACGACTGTTTCTCCACAGTAACGTTCGGACAAGCTCTGAAAAACACCAGCTTTCATAGTTTTCTCAGTTTTATTGAAATGTGTTTCGCTAATTATGCCCGATATATTTTGAATAATGCACGAGGTGATTGTTATCTTTCGCAGCTTCAGAATGACAACCGGACGTACCGTTCAAATTGATTGATTATAATTGACAGATGAAGTTTTCTTTGTCAAAATTATCCACACCCCAAGTGACCACACCTTGAGACAAACGATCACATTTCTCTTTTAAAATTATGCTCACCATATTTTAAAATCATGCCAACCGCAATATAGATATCATTACGGTAACGAAAAAAAAGGAGAAATAATAACGATAAAATTTAGACCACTGCTTTTCGCTTGTTTGTCATCGATATATAATACAAGAGGAATATTTTGAAAGGACGCAAGCTGCGTAAGAGTTGCTCGAGGCACAGCCGAGAGCAGTTATAGCTTTTTGCTAAGAAGCCATAGAACTTGAAAGTGCTCTCCAAACTTTCCAAGTGAGTATAATTCGATAAGTGCCCAACTGACGCAAGCAAAAATTGTCTCGTAACATTGTAAACAGTTGTTTGAATGATGTCTTTTCATGACTCAAATTTATGATAACGACTTTACACAGTAAACATATATTTAATCGTACTTTACAAGCGGGCCCCAATGTCATAAAAATAATTAAATAATTAAATTCCACAGTGTTCACTCAAAAGTCAAGCTTGAGGGAGAGGAAATCAAAGATAAAAGCTTATTCAAAGAAATGCTAAATATTATTTTTTGCCCGAAGCGAGAAACGTCATAATCACTTGCGTGCCGCTCATTCTAGAATTTTGATTGATCTTACAGTATTTTCCTGAGCCTTCATGGAAAATGTCGTTCCCCTGGAAGATTATCTCTGTTGTTTTACATATTTAGTTGATATTGAACATGTACCTTAATTGTGAATCTCATTGACTACCACTCGACGGGAAAAAGTAGCTATGAAATAGTGAAGCGATTCGCAACAAATGTGTAGTAGGTACCTGCGGTAGATTTTCCAGCCTACCCGCATGCTAAGGCTTCCGCTCTGGCTGCTGAATCGCATTTTTGAACGAGCTCTCACCAAAGTAAGACTGTATATATTTCCATTTTTTAAATTCATCGTCACTTTTGTTAATTATTGAATCCTGACAAGTTTGACTTTTTGTTCGTGCTTAAGATGGCTTTTATATATCCACCATGAAGTTTCCTATACCCTTCAGAGTATACCTTTCTGTACGACACCAGAAGAGTGAAGGCAGATTTAATCTTTATCACACAATGTTACAATATATATGCGTTATTAACCAAGCGTGAGGTCAAGATAGATGGATATTGGCAGGGTTCTTTTTTTGCGCCCCTCCTTTAATTTTTCCTTTTTATTTTTTTTTGACTGTCGTCTACCCCCTCGGTACAAATCTGTTTATCTTCCCAGGCTGCCGCCGCTGTAAAAATCAAAGATGGTAGCTATAATTTCTACCAAAATAATACTGAGCGCTCGGCCGCCAAAATTATGCCTGCCCTGTTGAGTAATGACAGATTTCTCTTTGTAACAGATTAAAAATATAAATCATTGGAAGTCGTTATCATCCGTAGTTCCATACCAACTTTTTTTGATAAGCCTTGAGAGAGAGACCTAAAGAAAACATATTGTTAGGGTGTCAGGAACTTTCCGGTCAAGTAAAACCTTTTCTATTGCTGATTTTCATACCGTTTTTTTTTTTTTTAATAGACGATCTTTTTTGCAGGCTCTAGGAAACAGCGGGACACTGATTTTTTAACGTTTCATGATGATGCAAGACTCTTTGCTAGGAGAAGTGGCAAAGTACATATTACTACTGACTCTTTCTGGCGTTTTAAGGAGTCTTCCTTTGGTCAGAGGCGAAACGTGTAAATCCAACATAAGAAGTAAGTAGTGAGTATTTCTGTCTTTTTAAACTTTATCATTTCTTTAATCTACCTCACCCATTTATTTATTCGTTTATTTTTGATCCCCGAGTTTTCTCTCTTGCACAGTTAGACCCGTTGTCGACATCTCTTCAAGTCCACAAAACAACAGATCACCCATTGGTGCCTCCATAACCCTGAATTGCACAGCCGAGCCTAGGAGGAAAGACTCAGTATATCTGGATAGATGGGTCGATTATATCGAGTGGTATGATTCACAGGGTAGACAAGTTGGAGTTAAATGCCGACAGCCCTCTATCATACATGCTCATAAACTTAAATTAAGCTGCCCATTGGTCCTTAAAAATTTGACAGTTGAAAAATTTGGCCCTTACACTTGCCAAGCAGGCAATGGTTATGCAAAACACTGCACAAGGAAATCATTTGAAATAAGGATCCAAGGTAAGTAAACCAGGCTTATCATACCTTTACATAAAATAGACATCTTGTTTTCTCTAATGCAAAGGTGGATGTTGTGTGTTGGGTTTCGCTGCCATAGAAGATTGCATTGTTTTCTTTTGCTTTGCTTTGTTTTTTTCGGTAAGTTGTTTAATTGAAGAAAAAGGAGCATCAAATTATCAGATACTAAGAAACTCCTGGAATTTATGGACAGGCAAGTCCAATATATATCTCATAGCTTAAGGAAAATTCCGCAAAGTTTCCTTATGCGCTTATTGGCTGACGGGAATTGAAATGTACTGCTCAAAGAAAGAGATCACTGCGCCACATGTATCCAAATAAATGGATCGATATTAATTTCCAGGTGCCCTAATACCCGAGATTGTTGAAGGTCCAAAGAATCGAAGTGTCCTGATCGGCTCCAATGTTACTTTTAGCTGCACTGTCAAGGGTCTTCCGAGGCCAACTATCCATTGGATAAAGGTCAATACTTCACACATTTTACGAACCAACCCTAGAGCACGAGTTATTCAAGACAGCCAAACGAATCGGAGCCAGCTGTTGATTACAGGTGTAGACATGGAAGATTATGGAAAATACCAGTGCATTGCAAACAACAGCTTTGGAAAAAGTCAGTCAGGAGTGGTTGTCTTAAACATAGGTTAGACACTTTTTATATAGATGGAAAAGTAAGGATCTTTACGAGGGTTGCTGTTAGGACTTACTTTTCAGATAAACATCGCGAAATCTTCTACAATTCTTTCTTCGTAATGAGCTTTTTCAGCTTCTTCTTTTTCTTCCTTGTTTATGACTCATCGCGTCACATAAACTCAAATAGTTGCTTCGATGTGAATTTGCAGATGTTCAAAAACCTGAGATTGTTGAAGGTCCAAAGAACCGAAGGGTCTCGATTGGTTCCAATGCTTTATTTAGCTGCACTGTTAAGGGTCTTCCGAGGCCAACCATTTATTGGATAAAGGACAATGCTTCATACCCTTTACAGTCCAACCCCAGAGCAAGTGTCATTCAGAAAGGCAACGGCATTCGTAGCCTGCTCTTAATAACAGGAGTACAGAAAGAAGATTATGGAAAGTATCAATGCATTGCAAATAACAGTGCTGGAAGAAAAGAATCAGGAGTGGTTTTTTTAATCCTAAGGAATTTAGGTGAGATTTATATAATAAATGAATAAATATACTCGATTTAGTTTGTGCCTTGGGCTAACTTCATTTATACATGTGGATACTCGGAAAAGAGACTATTTCAAGAAATTCCAATGAGAAGAGGATGATTTTCCAAATAAAGCAACCTCGTTGGGCTCATGTTATAATGCGTTTTGCTTCTATATTCCCATGCAAACAAAAATTATGATGATTACCTAAGTTGAACGCCTTGAGTACTTTTAAAAGGAACAGTGTTACATTTACTCTTCTTACCTTAATTACCTTGGGAAATCCACTCTCAAAATAGTATTAATTTCTTCTCACCTTTGCGATAATATTTGTACTTTTTTCTTTAACTGCAGAAAAGCCGGAGATAGTCGAACATCCAAAAAGCCAAACTTATTCTGTTGGTTCCGACCTACTTTTCAGCTGCACCGCCACTGGTTTTCCCAAGCCAAACATTACATGGATTAAGAGCAATGATCCAAATGTTACAAAAACCAATCCAAGGTTCAAAACCATTCTTGATTTAGTTGCCACAAAATCCCACAGTGTGCTGCTGATAACAGGGGCGACGAAGGAGGATGCGGGCACATATCAATGCTTTGTAAATAACAGCGCAGGAGAGAGGACGTCGAATGTCGCCTCTTTACAGATAAAGGAAGGCAAGTTATCAAAATCAAGTGACCAATTCAAATTCTCTCCTCAAAAAATGTTTATCGAGGTCATTAATATGGAAATGCAGGCCGTGGAATTAAAAGGCATAAAACTGCAATCAAAACACAGTGCGTAAACATTTTCAAACTTATTTTTGCTAGACTAGCTACAGATTTAAAACATAATTACACGTTTGGATTGCCTTACCTCGATATTCTTCACGAGTGTAGTCGAGGGAATGCCGTAAAAACCAAAAGGACACGCTTGGACAGTTGCCACGTGATAAAAATAGACTTAAAATGACTAATTAAGTTCTACTTGAATATAAAGACAGAACAGATTGAGAAGGAAAACAAAAATGGCATTGGAAATAACTATGATTTATGCTGTTCAACTCGCACGACTCAAAATACGAAGTATCTTTGCTATATAATGTTCTGTTAAATCGTTCTCGCCGCGTCCTTCTGCTGTCTACAATCATGTGCAAAATATTACCCACGTTATCAGAAATACGATCAAACATTACCTTGAATTAGAACGTTGGAGTGTGACCTTGGTGATGCCTTTAACTGTTCTGGTTAAAAAAGCGGGTAATAACGACCATTTCATTTTCTTCAACTATGATTGGTGAATGGACTGCCTTAACTATCACGATTCCGTAGTGTTGTCAGCGGACAGTTGGTTGAGATTGAACACTTGTGATCGAATAGTTCCATCACCCAAGCACATTGCATTTAACTAATATGAATCCATTAGTCACATAATTGATTAGATTGACCATAGCAATGGCATACCATTCCAAGAAGGGAATTTACCACAATATGGAAAGCTGTTTCTAGAGCTTTTCAGAGCGTATTTGTCAGAAACTGTATCAGTTAAGTATTAGAAGACTGGAATTACAAGCCCCTTTTTCTGTGATTTGATTACATTTTGGTTTTCTCGGAAGTTGTAGCGGTTGTTATTAATTGATCGTAGATCAAATTGGACTCCACATGGTCCTGTGTTAGCATTTTACAATTAAATCCCTGCGATGAAGGTTGTAGGCCATTTAGTTTCTAACCTCGTTTAAATTGTATCTTACAGCAATTATACAAGCAAGACTACAAGCCGGAAGCTCAACGGTTTACATTGCGATAGTAGTCGCAGTATCTTGTGCTGTGATAACTGTGTTTATCAATAGTGCCATTGGGCTTTGGTGGTACATGCGCTGTAAACGTGGTAAAAAGGTGGACATTATTTCTCTTTTTTTCTTTTTAATTTTTTTTGGAGTGGACAAGTGCACACAGAGGCTTTTGAAAACGTCAAAAATCGTATACTTACTGTCGCTTTCATTTGCATTTTTTGACGTCTTATTGTGGGTGATAGACAAATACGCTTCAACCGGGATACGTTTTCAATGAGAACGAAGTATTGTGGACGATTTAGACCAAAAAGAAAGCGCTACGGTGAAAATAGTTGGTTTCACTTAGTTTGAGACAAAAAGGACACCTGGAACTCAAGTATGTTTCTTTGAGGTGTATTTAATTGTTTGGACTGGACAGGGAAGCATTTTATGCGGTTGCTGAAATAGATTCCCTTTGATATCATTAGAAGAAGTGACTTGGACGGAATAACATTTGACGATAAAAACTTGCGAACAAACGTTGCTTGATAACATTGTAAAATTTAAAAACGATAAAAAGCTATAAAAAGCTAAAATCGACGACGTTTCGGCGTTAACATAACGTCATTATTAAGTCAAGAATGTATAAAAGTTCTATAAATACTAAAAACGAACAATAAGAAAAAATAATTTGCGGGTTAAAAAAAAAAGCTTAGCACGTATGGAGTCCGTTTGCACGTTCAGATTAGGTTTGAATTTCTTAATGTAAAGCATTTCAAACACTAAACAATCAAATTTGCTTTGACACTTTCTCAGGATCTTAAAATGACTATCATTCAAACGATCCCTCCTACCATGCGCTTCATGAAAATGCTTGCCACTTGCCGAATTTTTGTGTTCAGCGACACGTTGAAAAAGGTGTCGCTGATATCATTCCCTAAAAAATTCAAATTCAATTCTTTTCCATCACTCTTTCGCTTCCCT